AGGATGAACTACCTTTTTTACCCTTTTCCTGTCGGGAACCAGATCGACGCATCCCCACCCGAGGGAGACGCCCTTCGGGGTCTGACAGGACGGAGCCGAGAATAAGAGCGCGGCGCGTCCGCAGACGGGGAGGATGCGGAGTGCGGAGAAAGATTAATGAAAGCTCGGCCTTCCGGGGGACGGCGGATGCTATGGGAAATTATTTGTCGCAAATTCCCTGAAGATCCTGGCCGACATCGTCGGGATACCTGTCGAGCGGACACTTGGTGCAAACCTAATATCCGCGGAAACGCCGCGTATTACCCGGCGAATGGATGCATCCGTCAAGAGGTTCGCGCACTTGGCACGGATGCACCATCTCGGTGCAGCCTCGCTCGCTGCACCAGTGACGGCGATGGCACAGCGTGGCGATTCTTCCGAACAAAAACGCAAACCCCCCAACTGGCTCCCCCTCGAGTTTCACCGAGAATTTCGCAAACTTTCCGTCCCGATTTCCCGCAATTCGGCCTCAAAGACGGAACACCAAAATTAGAGAAAATGCGCGCCACTTCGCCCCTTTGACTTCTTTCAATTATTATTCCTCGCGCCCCGGAGCCATTAGTTGAGGGTTAATAACGTAACAGATGGACAAAGCAAATACCGCATATTATCCGCGAATGGGTGCATTCGTCAAGAGGTTTGCGCACTTGGCACGGATGCACCTGATCGGCGCCCTGCTGCACCCGAGATGGAGACGAAGAAGCATGATCGGCCGTATCTCGAGTTTTGCACCCTTTCCGCCCCGATTTCCCGGATCCGGCCTCGAAGACGGAATACCAGAATTAGAGAAAATGCGCGCCACTTCGCCGCTTTGACCTCTTTCAATTATAATTCCCCCTGCCCGGGGGCCTTTATTTCCGCGCCGAAAGGCGGAGGACGGAAAAAGCAAACGCCGCGGAATGAATCCCGGATTAACCGGGTCGCCTGATCCGAATCAAAGTGGATTAAGTCGGGACGGTAAAATACGCACCCTGGGCCAGGAATTCCGGAATTCACAGTCGACGTAACGTTGCGTCGGCCCACTTTATTAAACCGAGTATCCGGCCGGATGCAACGGATACAACCAAGCCTTATGCACCGCGGAAAGAAACGAAAAGGGGGAGCGGGCAGGAATTTATTCCGCCCGGAACCGCGTAATCCGGAACGATCGCACAATCTTGATCCCTTTGATCCGTTTATGCCGTTAATTTCGATGGTAGCGGATTAGAGACCTCGAATAACTACCTTGGTAGCCGGTCATCGACAATGGAGGGATTAGACGAATGTGGCCTCGCGAGTGTACTTTCCATACATGAATAAATATCGACCGGAGCACTCTTGATCCTCCGGTTACCTTTCTACCTCCCTTGCATTTTTCCACGATATTAATGGAAGAGAAAACGTGTAAAAAATGTGAAAATGGAAAACGAGCCGCACTTCTCTCACTGCGAGAGGGATTTTCGTTCCCACGAGTCTCGAATGCGTTGTGGGGATCGATCGATCGGGCGCAATCTTGGAGTCGTCAAATCGCGATTGGATTCGCGTGATATCACTTCGAGGCCGCGTGAGAAACGATCGACGAGCCGATAATGCCCGTCGAGGGAAAAGACACGACGCGACGTAAGTCGTACACAAGTCCAGGAGCACAGGAGTGCACCGAGGAACTGCATCCCTCAGAAATGCACTTCTGTTGGTTCCTCCCTCCTCTTCCTGGTAATTCCTTTCCCACGTGCACCTTGCATAGCGGATTAATTAATCTCGATCGGATCGAAATCGTAACTCGACGAGTCGCATTTCCTCTTCCATATTTTTTCCTCCTCCCTTTCGCGCGATTCCACGAGAGTTAAACTCCTCTAGAGTATTTCTTAACTCTCGTAATTTTCAGGAGAGACAAGCGACGCCATTTACAAGGACATGGTCGCGGCTTAAGGAGACTGCCACCCTTTTTGCTCGTTACCTCTTAATTGGGGTTTCTTTAGATCGAGTCGAGACCCCCGTGAGGTACACTGAAGAAAAAAATTCATTGAACCAATATCTTTCTTTGAACGGTACCAAAGAAATACTTTGTAAATTCCAGGAAATAATTATTTTACTGAAATCAATTGTCATAATTCCGAGGAAACGTTGCATTAAATTTATTCCAGTTGATTTGGATCAAATCATTATTCTTCGAATTAACGAAATATCTCTTTGGTAGTATTCAAAGAAATATCCCCTCAGTCAAATGAAATTGTTTTTCTCTGTGTCGATCTCGCCCAGGGATCAATTCCCCGCGAAAAGAAATTATTCCGAAAATCGGGAAAAAATTATGTAATTCTAGGGAATTTTCGCCACCTCTTGAGATGACATCGATTTCGCGACCGCTCCAGGCTATTGCCTAGGAGCCGTAACAAGAAAAAGAGGGCGAGAAACCCTGGCAAAGTTTAATTGGCTCTCGGCTAGGAATATACGCCAATACGTGCAATTACCTCCGTAGTTCCCCCTGTACCAAAAGGGCGGAACGCTGCTAAATATCGACCCCCGGCCGGGATGGAAGGCTTCCTTCAATTATCCGCCATTACGCATCCGTGCACCACACATAATGCTCCTCTCCCAGAAAGGAATCGAGCTCCGCCCAAGAGGTTAGTTTCGCGCACACGACCATTCTACGCAATGATTTAATTACAATAATAAATCGGGGATAGAAAACTGCCCACGTCCGGCAGGACGATGCGATAGTACGCTGACTTTTTGGGAAACCCTGGCTCCTCCTGGAGGAGTGCCAGGACCCTCTCCCAGGGGAGATCGCAGCCTCCCCTCCCCTGTTTACCCGGGTCGTGATTTGTGAAACTCGAAGATACTTTTTCGCCATCCCTGAATTATTCCCAATTCAAATGATACGAGGGAGTCTGGGTACCTTATCATGCCGCGAAGTAAGATTCACCAGTTGGTTTTTCCTGCAAAAGTACCCCTCTCCGCCCTTTGGACCAATCGTTGGGTACTCACCTGAAACAGAAATAAGAAAGTTCGATAAAAATCGTGGAAATTAAAGGAGATATTATACGGGGGTCAATTCGAATCAGAAGTGGGAAAATTCGGGGGGACGTAAACGACCCCTCTCCTCGATCGCCGCAGACGCCGTGAAGTGATCGTAATTGTTAATTTCGAGGTAAATCAATCCATGGCCAATTACGGGGGGGGGGCTTAGTTCGAGATTCGCAGGGCGCCAATTTCGTGTTGTAGGACCGATTTTCCAAGTATCCCGTGATTGGACCTGGCGACAGGGGTGCAAGGACTCCCTCTTGCATCTGTTTCTGGTCGTTAACCGTCGAGTGGACCGACAAACAGCGACTGTTAATTTCCTCTTTTCCAATGCGAATTACCGTGTCCCCCGAGGCGTCGTTAAATTTCCAGACGCAAGGAAACGGGCGGATATTAAAAAGTAAAGAAAAATAATGCTAATGCGACCGGTCGAATAATCTGTCAACTCGAATTACATGAATTTAAAGACATTGGTAACTGGTACTTGTGCTGGAGTATCAATTCTTACGGGGGAAAAAAAAGGACATATCTTTATACATTCTGCAAAGCGAGTCAAGTCAATGGCAAATTGGCGAGTAACAAGAAATAACGATTTTTCGAGAAAATTAAAGTTAGTTATTATCAGGGTACGGATTAGGTAACCCGGTCTACCTCTCGCTATAACTCTCGTACCGATAACTGGAGTTTCGACAAAGATTACTCGGGTTAACTGGAATACATAACTCGAGTTTATCGCCTTGGTAAATTTGACTCTCCTGGAAAATAGGCGCCGGAGCTGCAGGAAAGAACTTTTAATATGAGAGCATTTCTATATATTTTTTTTAATTTTCCATGACTTTTCACGGCAGGTACGAAATGGATTAAGTGCTACGAGAATGGAGATCGCAAATGGATCAGCATTTCGGGGGAATTGGTTTTTCTGGATTTTCGGAAAGTCGGGAAAGGGGTCCGACACCGAGCCGAGCATTTGCACGGTTATCCGCAGGGGAACGTTCGTTTAACGATATCGATCCCCGTTACCGGCGTGCCATTGGCACGTACGTAATCCATTCCACAAGTAGAATAGCGCCGCGTACAATTCTACCACCAGACGAGCCGACACAATCGTCAGTGGGTACTCTATAGACTCGCGATAGCACGATAGGTGTCGAGCGGGAACTTGCTGCAATTGTCGGGTTCCTGGTTTAAGCCGCGTGCAACCCTTTCTACCAGCTGCAACAGTCAACCCCTTGCCACCCTTCCCCTAACGAACCACGATCGCGAAACTTTCGCCCTCACCCACTCCACCTACTCCACCCACTTTTAAACTCCCGTCTCCTGACACCATCTCAAGCTCCGAGACATCTGTATATTTAAATTCCCCTTTAAATTATCAATTTTAAGGAATTAAAGATGGAAAAATCTACACTCGAACAGCATCTATGGAGAGGACAGAGAAAAGTTGCCAGATATCCACCTAAATCGTACCCCGTGTATATCTTTACCGATATTTAATATTACCGAGACCTAAGACCAGATGTTAACCCAAGTGTTAACACATTCGCGACCGGCAAATTTTATCCGTTTCAAATACTGAGTACCGGCGAAAATAATGAAATTCTGAAACTGGTTGCCGCAAACTTGTATCGTGTATCGTTATGGACGTAATGTGCGTCAGTGGCAATCAGGAATAGAATTTAAAATGACGTGAATTCACGTCAGCGGCAATCAGGAATAAAATTTAAAATGACGTGAATTCACGTCAGCGGCAATCAGGAATAGAATTTAAAATGACGTGAATTCACGTCAGCGGTCGCGAATGTGTTAATAACTAAGGAATACGCAGGGTATGATCTACTGTCATATGTCATAAATGTTAAATAACAGAAAAAATATATCCGGGTCGACCTCGAGGGCAAGAGTTGGATTGAAATTGACTCTTGAGTAAAATTTTAAAAAATATGAGAGAACTCCGAGTCTACCTTCTCGAAAATGGACCTTCCTCAAGGAGCGAGTCCTGGCCGCGAGTCCTCTTACGGGGAGGTCGTGGGGCCCGAGGTTCTCCCTGGACAGCGAGCTGACCAGAATGCCCCTCAGAGTGGCGAGGGTGCTGCTGGGGATGACGCGGTCCATCTCGTCGGACGTGCCCATGACTCCGCGAGGACTCCGCGTGTCAGGAACGAGCGTCGCGACGCGCACGCCGCGCGACGCCGCGCGCCATCCGTCGGTTCAGGACCTTCTGGACCTTCTATTCCGAGTCAAAGATCCCCCTGACCATGTCTCTACATCCGGCGACGACGCGATCTCAATTTCCGGGACCTTCCCTCTGACCGTCAACCTATTTTCAATTTTATTTCAATTTTACTTCGTTTTATCTCATATTTCCTCATTCTGAATAAATTTCTAAACGCACGTGGGTGACCAGACATGACCCCAAATTTTTCTTTAAAGTGACGTGAAAAGCGTCGAGAAACTCAACCTCCGTAAAAAAGAATCATCTAACCGATGTTCCTTCGCAAATAATCCGTCAACGTAATCTCAACTCCAATCTGGGATAAACAACCATTTCTTTTTTCAAATGCAATTTCACGAGTGCCCGGATGTTCCTTAGAGCCTCCGCATTCATGCGGCGAAGTTTCGACGGATTCGGTGAGAAGTATTATACATAATTTGAGTTATCGTATGCCACTTTAACGGCATAAGTCCGTGGGTTATCTCGAAGGTAATCGAATTTCATTCTTTTTCGAGAATGCCGATACGGTCGACATCGTTGAAGTCCTTTCTCGCGTTTCTTGAAGGGGGTTCGAGGGGGGTCGCCGACCGAGGGCAAAACGCGGGGGTCACGGTGGCGTGCGTCACGCCACGTCGCCCGAGAAATCGAATCTAGGTTAAACTTGGTAATCGGCCGTCGTGTCGGGGGTCGAACGCGTCGTTAAAAGGGACGAAAGCGGATTACCGAGCGAGAGGAAGACGCGACAGATGCAAAGAACGACCTCGTCCTCGTCGCCCTTAAATATGGCTAAGCGCGTTACTATAAATCATAATATTTGGTAATCGGCGCAGTTAAGTTGATTGCTTCTATAGGATGCCTCCACCCGTGCCGATTTCTAATCCGTGCATTTAATTTGATTACCGTCCACGCGTCGATTAACCCTTTGTAACCCAATTTCTTTTTTCAACCAAAGAAACAACCGATATAAAACAAAATTTACAGATATAAACCTTCCAATATTAACTATTCATATATGATTACTCAATAATTTTAAAAACCCAAATGTTAACAACAGCGCGTAAATATGTCTTCGTTAAAAGGGAATGTCACGGTAATGCCAACATGCCCTCAAAGTCACGTGGCATTGCAGAGGATAAAGTCTGCAGATCGATTTTCCGAAATTAATCTCAACGATTTATTTACATATGCGCGGCCACCTTGACGCGGGCTTCCGCCGACGAAATGGTTTCCGTTGCCAAACGCGTCGAACCTCCGGCAATGATGTTTCCTTCGGATTTGCAGGAAGTTACCGGAGTAAAAGTTCAGGGAGAAAAAAAAAAATTCCCGAGGGCGAATTCGTCGACATGCCGTGCACGTGGCCGTATGCGAGGAACCGCGGATATATCGGTTATCGAAAACGGCCGCGCGTTGGGATTTACGATCGGTGCGATCGGTCGAAGGGCATTTCGAGAAAAGTCCGCGAGTCCATTTAACGAGGCCCGGTCGGACCTTATGTAGAGAAGGAGCGAAGGAAAGCGGTATCGGCGACCTCCTTCGAGCGATCGCGCTTCTACCATATTTCGACTCTTACGGCGGGGCGATACGAGCTCGCCGTCTTTTAAGGCAAACCCGCAATGCCGATCGACGTGCGTCACCGGCCGCGAATATAAAACCTCCGCGCCGCAAAGCCGCAGATAAGTATCGCCCGGCGACCGCGTCGAGAGACCCTGACGTCCGAGCGGCGACATTTCGAAAAGAGAAATTTCGGATAAAACCGTCCCAAATGGTTATCTGGCAACATGAGTCCATATCGATATCGAAATCGACCTTCGATAAGCCCCTAACCACCCGTTGTGGCATTTCCTACCGAATTACCGCGCCGACACGCAGAAACCGAATTGCCCCCTCGAGGACTCACGCTGGCCCTCGATAGATCGATTCGGCCGAATCGAATTCCTTTCCCGTCGAGTCGGCGCATAATTACCCGACGTCATATTTTCTGACGCTTTCCTTCCCTCCTCCTTAAAACGCAGGAATAGCTCGCTCCGAAATATCCCCCCGTACTTATGAATGGTCTACGTCAAAACTCAAAATAAAAAGAAAAAAGACGGATTTATCGAATATTTTGCATCGTACTTCAATCGCAACAATCTAAAATTATTTTTTTTCCGAAAAGAAAAAAAAAAAGAAGAAAATTATTTAGACGTCTTTCATGATTATAGACACACACAGACGCGGGAATCCTTCAAAGAAGTCTCAAAAATCCAACTGATAATCCATTCAGAGATCGCGGGTCGCCGAATGTGAACGCGTAATTCTGTTATCGATCGTATCATTTTGCCCCCTCCCCCTATATCACTCAATCGCACCAGTCACTATCTCTACCTTCGAGTAATCAACGCACTCTTGATTTTCCCGAACTCCTCGATTAAGAGGACTTCTTTTCTTTTTTGTTCTAATTTTCACTTCACGTCACCGCGCGATGCACTTGTCGGATGCACTTGGCAACTTCACGGCCACCTCGCGATGAGGCGAATTGCACCCACTTCGCGGATTGAACGAATGACTCCGGTCACTTCGGGCACTTCGCGGATTCGAGACGAAGTACGCCCGTGGACACGGTAAGTGCGACAGCTGGGAGGTGCACGGTATGTACGCACGGTATGCACCTTGTGTGCAGTGCGCTTGGTACGCACTCAGACACGCGACCGCCTCGGACTGGCTCGTCGGGAGTGACGGCGAGTCGCGAGAGGCTACCGACGTGCTTCGCACTCCCCATTCCGGCGATTCTGCAAGAAGTGGGGATTTGGAAGCACCTCCGTCTCGCCTTGCACTTCCAGCGTCTGTTACGTACGAGCCGACGTCAGGCTGGATACTTTCCACCGGCGCGCCGCTGGAAAGACCGGCCGAAAGTAAAACCTCGGGTGCATCGTGAGGATGGCCTGCCTCCTCAATTCCTTTCGTCCCTCCCTCCACCCCCTTATCGGAGTTCATAAAAATCCGACTTAAAGAAAGAATAGTGAAAAAACTTTGATCTTAAAAGATCACGGATTTTAAAAAGTTTTATTAATCGAATAAACGTCCAATTTAATGGGTTAGGTTAAGTGAACGCTACTCTAAAAAAATATCATAATTTAGGTCGAGTCTAGTACGTGCGACAATTCCTATTCTGTGTTTATCTAGTATCTCGGGTGCATCGCGAGGATATCCTGCCTCCTCGACTCCTCTCGTCCTTCCCTCCACCACCTTATCAGGGTTGATAAAAATCCGACTTAAAGAAAGAATAGTGAAAAAACATTAATCTTAAAAGATCACGGATTTTAAAAATAGTCTTATTAATCGAATAAACGCCTAATTTAATGGGTTGGGTTAAGTGAACGCTACTCTAAAAAAATATCATAATTTAGGTCGAGTCTAGTACGTGCGACAATTCCTATTCTGTGTTTATCTAATATCTCTCGAGAGCATCGCTAGGATGCCCTGCCTCCTTAATTCCTTTCGTCCCTCCCTCCACCCCCTTATCAGGATTGATAAAAATCCAACTTAAAGAAAGAATAGTGAAAAAACGTTGATCTTAAAAGATGACGGGTTTTAAATATGGTCTTATTAATCGAATAAATGCCTAATTTAATGGGTTAGGTTAAGTGAACGCTACTCTAAAAAAATATCATAATTTAGGTCGAGTCTAAAACAAACGAGCCACGATCTGACAATTCCCATTTTGTGTACATCAAGTAACCGCTTCTTCCATTTAAACGACGGAATGGTTAAGGTAGATCTCGTAACATGTCTACCGTTTGCTTGGAAATGATATTTCCTGACGTTTTTGACAAGAACGGTTGAAATCGTGATTTGTTTAAAAAAAATAAAAATTCGTAGAGCCAGACCATCAATTTTGTTCAAATGATTTAAATCGAGTGAACTTATCGTCGGTGTTTCTCCTCGCTTATAGAAATTTGTCGAAACGGGATTTTCCGATAGAAATAATCGGTCGTGCCGAGCGGTGCAGTTTGCACCGAGTCCGGGTGTTTAATGCACCTCGACCTAATCCTATCAGCAGCCGGCACGCAGGTCCCTTCCTCCTTGGATTATGCTAACGAGAACTTCATCGCATGCGGAGCAAACTTCGGTGCTCCTCTCCCTTCGAGCTCGGCCAAGATCGATCGCTATGCGGAGACGCGAGCTGGGGCCTGCACCTGTTCCGAAGGGACAAAGCCTCCGCTGCACTTCAGCACGCAACGCGGATGCAGCGATAACTGCATGGATAGCTCGACTCGACTATGCGCGTTATACGGCGCGTCATAACCCGCGTTATATACGGCGAACCTCGGACAGGGTATGCAGTAAATAAAGACGGGCCATGTTAATCAAGAAGGGCGTTTACACCTACGAAAAAACTCGAGGAATTACGTCCCCTTAAATCGCGCCCCTCGGAGGCGTCGTAAACGCAATTAATGCGCGTGGGGATGAACGATTGCCCGTAAATTACGCCCCGATAAGTAACGCTCTCCTTAAACAACAACTCAGCAGGGGTGAAGGGAATTTCTTGACGTTACTTCTAGACGAAAGTTTAACCTCCTTCTAATAAAAAGGAGAGAGACAAAAAATGAATAGACATTCAAAACTATTCTTGCCGAGTGTCGTGTCGACTCTATGCCGCGCTATTCTTTATCGAGCTGTGAGTAATCGAACTTGAAGTGGTACCGCATCGCGAGTAGTAATCCTTGTTCGCAGATTCTCGGTGTCACGTCGGCGGCACGCATGAATAATTAACACGTGAGTCAGCTGTTCGAACGCCAGCGGGAATAATTGTCGGGAAGCTGTCGTGCATTAAAATTCCAATGTGAGAATAATCGTTGATCGGGTATTTACGGGGAAATATCATTTATATCGATCACCCAGCCGCGCGCTTTTGGGCGCCGGCGCCGTATGCACTCTGCGATGCATCGGCTGCAGCGAGGTAGAATAGTATGAGGAAAGGACGACTTTCGCGCCATTCGGATCCGAACCCGGACAACAGCTTGTCGATAGCGTGTCCAATTGCGTAAGGTTTTCGTTTATGTAGGTTGACATCATTTCCTGGCTCACGACGCGTCTTTTAGCGTTTCGCTCGATGCACGCGCACTTGTGCTCGTCCCTTACGACTGGACGGCCTTGCAGCGACGCGAGAGGAGCCGACCAAACCGGAAATGTATTTAATAACGCATTTGAACGAAAATGCGAAATCCCTCGAGTTTCCTGTTCGGCTTTTTCTAATTGAAATAATTATTTCTACCGCGTGGAGAAATGCATCCAGATTCGAATTCAAATTCATGACGCTTGAAACAGGGCGAAGAGCCCACCAAACCGGAAGTGCATCTAATAACGCGTTTGAACGAAAATGTGAAATCCCTCAGAGTTTTCTGTTCGGCATTTTCTATTTGAAATAATTATTTCTACCGCGTGGAGAAGTGCATCCAGGATGGATTGCAAGTCCTCGACCCTTGGAGCGACACAAAATGCTCACCAAACTGGAAGTGCATCCAATAATGCGCTCAAACGGAAACGCGAGATCCCTCGAATTTTCTGTCCGGCCTTTTCGATTCGAAATAACAATTTCCACCGGCAGGAAAAATGCACCCAGGATCGAGTGCAAGCAGGCGGAAAAGTCTTGACTTTTCGTCGGGGGGCAAAAGGACGCCGACGGTAAGAGAAGTGCTCGACTCCGCTGGCGGAGTTTGCGGAATCTATCGGTTCCGGCGAGGCCTTTGTGGCCGCCATTACGAAGTTCCCCGCGGAAAACTTCGAGGGACGGTGAATCTTAAAGCTCGCGTATTCGGATCGGCGCCATGTGCCGAGTTTCTTTCCCGGCCGCGCGAACCAGAAATCGCGGCGCGATCGGCCGTAGCCGATAAATTATAGCCATTAGCGGAAAGAAAGAGGAGAACTTCGGGTTCTTGGGCTCTCCATTCGCTGGAAAACGGCGGCGAGGTTCAACCAAACTCCACCAGTCGAGCCAGAAATCACGTCGCCACCCATCGACGCAAGATGCGGCCCAAAAACGCCCTCCAATAAAATTCAAGGAAAATAATAAAGCAACCAAAGGATCCCAATTATGTCCCTCGACATTAGTATTCCCCATAATTCAGCATAATTCACCATAATCCAACATTTTCCATCCTCCCGCGCCGTAGAACGTCGAAGTCACGACCCCATAGAATGCGGCAGTGCGGTGCATATATTTGTAAGCGGAACAAGCTGCAGGCATGGCGTGCACTTTCTCGGGTGCAGCATAGAATCGCGTTACCTCCCGTGGAAAAAAATATCATACATCCCCGGTATAAAGAGAAAAAAAAGAAAAAGAACCGGCATATGTAATTAATATATGCACGTTAAGGAATTTCGCAACGGAACGACCGACCCGTGGAGAGTCGGACGAAAATCGTTTGTAGCTTCTGTGAAAGCCCGACATGACAGAGACACACAAACGTGATCGAAAGTGTCGGCGACGCGATTGGCGAATTCGCCGCGCCTTTGAAGTGATTGCGGTGTCGCGTGTTAGAAAGTCGTGCGTTTCCTCGTTGCCGATTTGTCGTTGACATTCCAATCGCACGATCGGACAACACCTGACTCGAGGAGCAGCGGCACAGGACGTTTCCCCGTAGGGTTTTATTCCCCACAGCTCTACGTTGGCAAATCTGTGTCATGTGACTTTTTTAACAGGTATTTCGTCCCGCCAGTGCGACAACGGATCTACGACTGCATAAACTGGGGCGCGTTCTCACGGGGCATCCGTGCAGTCGCTCGATACCCCGGCCCGAAGGATTCCGGAGGCCGTTCGATGATGTCGTTATCATTCGCGGTTGCAATTGTCCGCCAACCAACGAGCCCAGGAGGTGGAAGTAACGCGATAGAGGCCCTCGAAACCAGTGAAGCGGGTCGGATGCGATTAATTAATCGATATCAGACTTCAAAGCGAGTTTCGCCGACGCAGTCAAGTGTCGAAAACGCGGTTCCCCCGAGGCCGCGGGTCAAAAAACGTATCTCTCTCTCTTCCGAAATCGTTCCGTCGACCGAATGGAATGCCAATAACGAAATGAAACTATTAAAAATGTATGTACAAAGTAGGAATTGAGGAAACTCTCTATGCTGTCCCCGAAATGCGGAATTCCTCGTGCACGGTGCAATAGTAGTATTGCGGTGTCGCATCATTACCGCGGAATTATGGAATAGGGGGAGGCCCGCATGAGGGCAGCCCGTGCAGCGGAGCTCTCCGCGGCGACCCTCCTCGCTGCACGCGAGCCGCGCGACTGACCAGCCCCGGCCAATGGGGGCGCGCCACGTGACCGCCGCAGCGGACCAATCAGGTGCGTCGCCGCGTGGCGCTCGATGAACCCGGCCGCGACGGGCGCAGTCGGTGGCCAGCGTTGCAGCGGGCGCGGCCGGCTTCGCGCGCTGCACGCGAAGGCACAGGTGAGAGAGCCTTTACGTAACCCGGCTAGCACGGTCGCTCGCCGGCATTCCTTCGGCGCCATTATCTTGTCCTCGCCTACGAAGCCTGGGCGCCGTTACTCTCCTCGGCACTTCTTGCCCATTATCCGCGATTTCCCGGCCGCCTAAGGTATAGCGAACAAAAGTCCCGGCGCCTCCTCCTTGGCGCCGGCCGCTTGGCAATGCATGCCGAGTCGCCATCTGGGAATTAAAAGTAACCTTCCTATTTAGAAAATCCGGGTATTCCGGCACCTAGCGATAACCTGTAAGACTCGGGCTCGGTAAGATCAGAGATTTAAGATTTATTCGAATGCTCGGGTATGGGATATTTCTCTTCCACGTGGACAAGAAAGGTACAATTAATCCGTATCGATGATAAGGTAACAGGAAAATATTGTCCAGGTGACCAATGTATGCGGTTGCGATGTTTCGGGCACTGGCATGAAATGAAAGGGAAAGTAAATATTGGAGACGAAATTGTAGAAAAATCCGGCGTATAGGAGATCGGGTTTATCCTCGGTTTCTCACGACTATAGTTTGACAATGGCGCCGACACGGGAGCGGAGTTAAGGAGAGCGACGTGT